GGAGTATTTACAGTAATGTGCCTCAAGGTCAGACAAAACCTTTTTTCTTGTGATCTAGATCAAGGCACTTACCAAGAGCTCACAGTCTTAAGAATGTTCTGCATTATTCACACAAAAACAAAACTCACTTTCATTAGATTCCTGTCCTTTACACAACAGCTATGTGCCTGTTTAAATTAAAGTCCTTTGTGCCATTTGAGGTTTGTTGCTGCAAGCACAGAGTCAATCTTTTTCAAGGTTGAGAAACTACTCTGAGTTCGTATGACCACATGATGGGATGATAAAGAAAATACATCATTTAAAAACATGCAATAGTTTTGGGTTGATAGTTTGATAAGTCATCCGTCCACAACATATTTTAATATATTTGAATTGTAGTTATGAAAGTTTGTATTTCCAAATGTATGTGGAAAAGAGTAATTTCAAGAGGTATTTTGATTTAGGTCAGTCAATAGGGGCAAAGCGTCTGAGCCCATCGGCCTCTCACTTCAAACAGAAGGCCAGCCTGAGGTCTTAATAGAATTAACAGCTGACAACTAATCTCATCAGTTTTATACATATTAATCCTCGCCCTTCTTCATAATGTAAGTCCTTTTTTGCCGCAGTGTAACATTTGAATGTGTTTTTCTATTAGATAATCTCAAATGAAAGCAGACGGGTTGTTCCCCTTGTGTCCCTCTTTGAATGAACAAAATATTTCTCCATTTTCAACTGTTAATATAATTTAATATAGACATCTATTAGACATTTATCATCTATCCCTGAACTGTTTTCACAGCTTTTATAGCCTCATATGTATTCGTATTCGCTAAAGACCAAAAATCCATGTTCACTGTTTCCAACATAAACATCAAAAAAGCAGCACACTCGGCAGTAAAGACGATTCCAGGTGCACGGCCAGGAACATATCATAGTACCATGAATGCTGTTTGTTGTTATAGCGTGACACACAACAGACAGAAGAGACATCAATCGAGTTCAGAATGACTGTTATTTTCATCCATATTTATCGTTACCATGGTGACAGCATCCCTGCAGTTGCTATGGTAATACAGCAGTGGAAGTAGCTCTGCTTTCAAGCTAAACAGAGCTGGTGAATTACTGATTCTTCAAAAAGATTTCTGCATCAATTTTCCCATCTTGACTTTTGATTGCATTCTTTTTTTGCTTCGATGTTTACATTCACATCATAATATTGAAAGCTGTAGCTGTTAAATTTATGTGGGCATCTACTTAAATCCGCTGCTCTGGGGATTAACATTTGATAAGCCATTGGTGCTTTTTTTCTCTTTCCTTTTCCCTGTGTGTTTTCAAGGTCATTCAGCTGTCAAACCCTCGTTTAACTTGAGAGTATCCCAAAGTCTACTTTTTTATGCTTTTGAACTTGTCTTGTTCAACACAAAAATAAATATTACACTGAGAGGCAAATACATATTGACCCAGCTGTGATGTTATTTGTGATTCATCTTGTCTTTGTGAATAAGAACATTGTATGCTGATTAATATGAGACATAAGCATTTGAACTAGCATCGTCTTCCTGACTGAACATTTGCTCAATCTTTATTTACACAATGTGCTGCATGAGTCAATTTAAGAAAGTTGTTTCTCGTAAGCATTCTAAATGAGACATAAATGCCATGCCATTGATAATATATATGTTATATCATATTTGAAAGGTACTATTTTTCCTTTTTGTGTTAGTATGTTAAAACAATTTATTTTAGCATTCCTTAACAGTACCACATGCGATCGCATCACTGCCTCAAACTGATCAATCAAACACCAAATATCTTTTGTCATTTTTTACATTTTGACAACAGTAATTGTTTATCGATTGTTATCGTGTCATCACTCAAATAATTGAATTATTCAGAAACATTAGCCATAAACACCTACCACTTCCACCAGTACAGGATGAATGGTGTTTTTAGGCAATTGGGAACACTGGGTGAAGTTGGGCAAACACGGTGGTGATGCTATGTGGGGTTTTCATGTTCTCCCAGTGTCTGCATGGGATTTCTACTGGGATCTCCACAGCACAAATATAATTGTTATGTTGATGGGTGAATCTAAATTGCCCATAGCTGGAAGGTTGGGGCTTCGATCCCGAGCTCCTGCAACCACGTGTCCGATGTGTTCTCGGGCAAGACACTTATCCTGTTGCTCCCGCTGCTTCATTGACGTCGTATACATATGAATGGGATTAGCTACTGTAATAGTGATGGCCACTTTACATACCTGATTTTGAATGGGTAGTTGTGGCCATATAAGAATGTTGGGTACTCAGAAGCCAAAAAAGTTCAGTACAAGCTCAAGTCCATCTACCATTTACAATATGAATGCTAAACCTTGAGAAGTAGATACAACATGAATTTAAACGGAGCAACATTTGCAGCCTTGAAGAGCTCATATTATGCCCTTTTTGGGGTTCGTATAGTTAATCTATGTACCTACTAAAGTATGTTCACAATAGGTTTGAAAACGCTCAGCACGGTTCTTGGAAATGTCACGCCCCTTTTACCATATTGGGAATGCAGCCACTTTGGCTCTGAGGGGAGCAAAAACATTAGCACCTTAGCACTACTGTGCTACCGCAGGCTACGGCATATCGTGGGCGTGCTACAGAAGTTAACGGGCGTGCAACATGGGCTGCTGGGCTTGCCACAACGAGCCAATGAGCTTAGCTCAGTGATATAACACTGACAAGACGTCACACTGGCAATTTTTTTCAAGGGGGGCTAGAACCGAGCGTTACGTGCAGCTAATGCTGCAGCTAACAGGAGGATGTAGGAGAAGCCGCGTTTCCTCAGACTTTTAATTTTTGCACATAGATGTGTCTAAACATGCACAGGACACTTGGAAAACACACTAAAGAGCATATAAAACCAGAAAAAGCATAATATGGGCCCTTAAATTATTATTATTTTTTTGGCATCTGAGCTTGTGGTGTCCTGGCATTGCAAGGTTGTGCTGGAATTTACATAGATTTAGGAGACATTAGTGGACAAATAATACCAGCTGAAAAGGGATCCAATAAACAACATGACACTGAAAGAATCATGTGCATGGCCATTTACCCTTTGGCACTATTTCCACTGGTTTTTCAAAATCTGCAAAACGATGATTGTGCTCACAGAAAAAGGCACAAAATGTGTTTTGTGCAAAAAATAAATGCAGATCATTCCTACTATCAGATGTACTCCTTCTTAATCCTGTGACCATCCATCCATTCGGTCCTGTCCATATTTGTTCTCAGTGGAGGTTCTTCTTTCCTAGTGTTTTGTAGGAGGTCTGGTGATAGTCACATATGTTGCTTCCAGTCAAAACAGGTGGCTAGCTGTTGGAGGTAAAAACATAAAAAAACTGCTTTTATCCATCCAACCATCTACTATTCAAGCTACATTTGTTTCATTTTACACCAACATCTGCTGTGAGCCAGCAAAGACATTACATTGAAAGCTCTAGCGTTTTAGGATGAGATTAATTGCTGCAAAATAAATCAGACATTTGAGTTAGTGTCCATGAATCTGCCCTGCCATTTCTGGTTTTCCCTTTTGGTCCATGCTCTAATTGATAACAGAGCTCTAAATGTGGGCACTAACACACAATGTAGACCCTTATGAAGTGGAGGTATAAATGATCTCTCTCTCTCTCAGTAGTGGTTCTTAAGAGTGAGGTGCATGGAATTCTTTACAATAGTTGTCCAGACAACATACAGCTGCTAAGCATAACATTAGTTCTGTAAAGCTTCTCTAGATCACACAACTTTAATTAACCAATCCTGGTCAGAGTCAAAGGAAGTGTGCGACAAACATGCAATTCCTTGCAAGCCTGCAAACTCCCTGCATGGTGAAATGAGAGTTCACTTAAAAAAAGACTATAGTGCCAGGCCCTTTTTGATATTATTCCAGGGCTGTGCATCTCTCCTTCGATGGAGGATTATTTTTATTTGATTTGACCTATCCAATGAAAATTGATAATTGAATTAAACTAACTCATCATCTTGATGTTCCTTTTGACATGAGGTTAATCTGGTGATGTCATAAAACAAGGAAATGCTCGCTGCTACCTCTTAGATCTCTGGTACACCTTTGAGAAAATCCTACTTGAGCTGCTCATGGCAATAAAAGCATTCTATCATCTTCGCGTTCTTCAATGCACAGTCTATCTAATACAGCAACAAAACAAACACTTACAGGCTCTCATGCAACATAGAGTTTGATTTATAAAATGTCTTATAACTTAATTATAATGACAGGGACAACTGAGCCCCCAGATATTGATACAAAGGATTTCAGCAGAGAAAATAAGTCAGTAGATGTTAACAGCATACCTTTCATAGTTCAGTTAACATAGCTCCTATCTGTGTGCTCCATTTACGGGGTACGCTTTTGTGCCTCATGCGAGATGTACACAAAGACACTGATCTTTTCTGATGATGTAAGAATGCTTAAGTGAAATACACACTTCAATCTGCCATCAAAATATTCATACAATGTCCTGTTTGTGCTCTGTTTGTTCAGAGGGACAATAAAAGGGCAAAAATGAAGTTTTTGTTGGAGTTTACATAAAATGTAATGGGTTTTTAAAACCCTTCAGGTAAGTTTTTTGAGGAGTGGGGAAATTAAAAGAAAAATGGATATGCATTTCCAACAGACTTAAAGAGTTTGTATCATATTGTGATATTGTGGTTGCCAAAAAACTGCGGTAAATCAGCTGGAACTTGGGTTCCGTGTGTGTGTGTGTGTGTGTGTGTGTGTGTGTGTGTGTGTATTAACCAGCATACAATCCCCTTACAAATGCTCATTCAGATGTTCCTATAAATATCCTGGAACACTTACTTTGAAAATATTTTTTGTGGCCCACATTTCTGTTTAAACTCTTCTTCTGTTTCTTCTTTTATTCACCTGCCCCCCCCCCCATCTTCCTCTCCCTCATGCATCTTGCAGCTGAAGGTGGTCACCATGGCTCGATGAAACATTCTAACCTCTCCGCCAGCATGGGGAACAGAGCGAGACCGAGGGATAAAGACAAAGAAGTGATGAAGTTGACTGATGATCCTGGAGCTTTACCCGCTTTGCCTGCGGGTCAAATTCTTGCTGAGAACAAAACAATGGTTATTACTGAAACAGAAGCAAGAGTGCAGGATGAGGCAGGTGGGAAAAGCTCTGCAATGGAGACTGGTGTCTTGGCTGAAGACACGGCTAAAAAGAGACTTAGGGAAAAGGAGGGGGGTGACCAGGCTGCCTGGTTTGGGCAGCAGAGTCTGCAGACACACAGAGAAAGTCAAAAAGAGCAGGTAGCTTTCTCATCAGTCCCCACCACACATCCAGCGACAGAGGTGCTCCAGAAACCAGAATTAGGAATACCTTTAGGACTGCTGTCTAAAGCTGCTTGGAGAAAAAGCTCCTCTTCATCATCCAAGACCTCCACCTCCTCTACAACCAAAGTTTCCTATTTGCCTTCCTCCTCCTCCTCTCCATCCACTCTAAGCAGTTACAGAGAAAGTCAAACAGCAACTCCAATCAATGTCTCTCTGGTTTTTGCCAACAGCAACTCCTCGACCAGCAACATCAGCACTAGTTTTGGTATGAGTTTGGAACAATCTGTTATTGTTGAATGTTATTAAGAACAACTGTTGACCCATGGTAACTGTCTGGCAGTTGTTGTTCTCACATGATGAAACATTGGTTATTTATTTATTTAAAGTAGGGTGCACATTAATGAACATAAACATATAAATATGCCAGATTGTAGCCTTAGCCTAATTTCCAACTGTAGTCCATTGGCGAATGGTGGTACACATAAATCCACAATGACAAAATGTTATCATGTCATCTGGATCTCTTTATGCCTTTCAGGCAAATTATTCATGCATTCCTATTACTAATTAACAACTGTGTGTTAAAGTTAAATAACTGTACTTTTGTTTGCTTTCATGTTCATCAAGTTGAATTAGGAAGCAATGCTTTACATTTTGTGCAATGCATAGCTATAATAAATGCATATATGCCATACATATAGCAGGATGGTGTGTTTTGACATAATTAAAAATATTTTAGTTTGTTTCTAGTCCTCCAGTAGAAGGGTGTGGCGCATGTTTGTGTTTTTGATATTTTTGGACAATCATGGAGGTCTAAGCCACAGTCAGTTAAGACATATACAATTCCTCTTCCCGGGATCTAGTTTTGTTTGTCTTTATATATCACAGGATTCATATTTTTTTTAAAACTATCCAACACCACAACACATTCTAAAAATGACACATTACTATTTTTTCTTCCCTGCAGATGAGTCAGTTAGTAGCCTGCCAGCATGGGATCTCCCCACTGTTCCAGAATCGCTACTGTCCACTGTGGGTGACCACGATGTAACACTTCCTGCCAATGTCACCAGTCCCTTTTCCACCCACAAATGGAACACCACTGTGCCCACTCGCACCAGAAACAGCTCACGGCTCACGACCACATCGACCGCGACCATAAACACATCGCTTTCACCCAGTACCACCTCAACTTTACGGTCATCCATCATGGTAAAAGCAAAACCTACACCAGGATCTACCACAGTTTCAAGCCAGAACACTGTGTCCAATGATAGTCTTCTGCTGAGAACGGTAACCACAATGACACCCTCAAAGACCACTCATACTGTGACCACCACTGATAAGATAATGCGGGCAGTGACCACTGGGAGCACTGTTACAGTACCACCAAATACCACTGCTGCTACAAACATGCCGCAAACAACAAGCCTCGAACATATCACAGAAGCCACAACACTGCCTACAACTACTACAACTACAACTGCTACAACAACCACCACAACTACTGTACCCCCAACCACCACCACAGCTCCAACAACCACTACTACAACTACTCCACCCACAACTACAACAACTGCCACCACCACTACTACTACCACACAACAACAACAACAACAACAACAGAAGAACCTGCCACCACTGAGGTCATCCTGATCCAAACAATACCTCCTCCAACCACCACTATAGAACCTCCAATCAGTACCAGCACAGTGGAAAGTCCTCTCCATGCAACATGACCAAGAAATACTGGGTCAAAACAGGTATGAGACTAAACTGTCTGACAGTAATTGTATCTTCAGAGCCTAACCAAAACAATACTTTGCATCAAGTCCAAAAATGTATGTCCCAAATTAATTATTAATATATCTTCAGCCATTTCTCTGTAATAGTTATGTTTTAATTTAAATGTAATAGATCCAGAAGCTTCCTGATGTTGTTTCATGCAGTCAACATAATAAAACTCACACAAAAGTAAGGTAAAGCTATCCCTAAAGCATTAATAGTTATAATACTAAGATGTAGGAGACTTAAGCGTTTTGAATAGATTAACCAGCAATGGTTGATACCAGAGGACTAAGGCTTAGGTTGGCAGTAGCTTTGTAAAGCGACTAAGTAGAAATTTAATCAGGTTCCAATGTCAAAGCTTCTGTGTCCTTGAATGTTCTTATGAAAGA